AAGAGAGGAAGGCCTAAGACCACCTGGCGAAGAACAGTTGAGAGAGAGAGGAACAGCGCAGGATGGCGTACATGGGATGAGGCAAGAGCTGCTGCAGCCAACAGAGAAAATTGGAGGCATTCTGTGGAGGCCTTATGTGCCACGAGGCACAAAGAAGCTAAGTGAAGTGAAGTGAAGTTGTCGTTCCTAACACGGAGAAATGACTGCTTTGGGCTTTGAAATAGAAAGGAAAAATACAAGTCAATGTTCAGTACAGAGTCCTCAAAACTTTCTGGTAGAGAGGTTTTTCTTCCTAGAACCACCGCGGAAACATAGCACTTTCAAGTAAGTTTTAATCGTAGATTTAAAGCAGCTTTTTGGACTTAAGAAACAAAAATGGTAAATTTACATTACTACTTTGAAGTTGAATTCAACTTTTGGAACGATTGGTGAAGCCACAGGCGTTAAAATGACTGCAAAAGCGCTCGGCAAAAACTCAAGCTTTCGTGTTAGGGTGAAGAATAATTATTTTCCATTGTTTTCTCAAATGCTAACCATTATAGTACAAGAATGGAAGTTCTGATGTATTTGGTTTCAGTTTGTCCTCCGAAGTCATTAATAACTCATTTTCGCATATTCAATTTTCTCGGCTTCTGTGGTACATTTTGTCACGTGGTAAAGAAATAATGTAATTTCTTGTTTTCTCATCAGTTTTAAACATCAAGTTGAGTTCTTTTTGTTGATATTTTTTAATATTTTGGCCCTTCATTTATTCAACTTAAAATAAACAATGTCTTGAAACCTAATCTTGTGTGTGGTTACTGTGCATGTGGTTTATTTTTAGCACTCGTGCTTGTTCTGAAATGTTAAAAAATCCCCGGGAATTTAGGGGTGGGTTGCGTGCAGTTTCATTTGGGCGTCAATGGGTTAAACACATTTTTTTGTAAACTGCCGTGATTTCCTTTCCTAAGAAGATTTCGTTGGTGGCATTATTATTATGTTGCTCAAGGTTAGCCCAAGGCCTCTTCATTCTGCTGACATTTTTTGAAACTATGGTTTGTCCTTTGGCTTCATTGGCGAGACTAGTGTCCTTGAGTTCCTTCAACCATTCTTCTTGGTTAAAGTACAACCCACAGTCGCTCAAAGCAAAAGATTTTGTTTTGTCAGCACTGAACCCCTCAGTTCCATCAGACTTTGGCCTTTTCAGCTTCCTCAAAGATGAAAATGGGCAAGAAGTTTTCTTGCGTTTGAAAATTTGACATGAACGAAAGCCAACTTGGGATAAAAACAACCAGATCGAGAACAGTTTGCATGTACGTCTCTTTTGTTCTGGTGAAATATCACACCACAATTCGCATTTCACATGACAACTGGCGGTGAATTTCAATAAGAGGTGACAGGAACTTGTCAACGCACTTTCAGGGATTAATGAGATTCAAAAATAGTTTTTCTCTTTATCTTAAAAGGAAAAGAGCTTTTTTTCTCATTCTTTTTGCAAAATATTTATCTCAGTCTTCTCAATTTGAACAGCAAAAACACTTTTTTTTTTTGCATTTTTTGGAAAAATTCACCTACCATGATACCTTAACCATGGTAGAAACCAATCTGAGATTGCCCGTTTTTGAGTTAATGCTGGGTGACTCTTGTACAGATTTATCACATTTATGTAAATGTCACACAGGTATGAAGTGTGGATCTTTATGCATCATGGAGTGTACAGGAGGGTTGTGCTCACTGACCATGACAAAGTACAAGAGGTGAATTCAGCAGGAGATCCTGTCTCTGAATCAAAGAATGAAGAGCACTCTACAGACCATCCTGTAAAGGAATCACCAAAGATATCGCTTCAAGAGGTATGTTGTCTTATCTAGATTTCTTTTTTGGGTAAATAAGTTTAAATAAAATATCAAAGAAACATGGGATAAAATGCAGTGGCATACAGGAAGGATCCAACAATTCCAGTGTTCCCAGATAAACTAATGATTTGACACAGATTTTGCCAAGCCTAAAAGCAAGCTCCTGATTACAAGAGGTTAAAACCTGTGACCTTGATGAGCTCTAAACCTGAGTCCTGATATGGTCATGTGATACTGGTCAGCAGATACCTTGTTTTGACAGGTGTCAATTATGGTCAATTATTGACCATAACATGGATGTCCAATATCAAAGATGTTTGATGTAAACCAAGGCTGCATGTCAACCCATTAGCTAGAGAATGGCTGCCATGTTGCGTAATGTCATCATGGTAGGGTGCACATGCTCATGATCCATGCCAATGCATGAGCAGGATGAATTCACTTGTAACAATAAGTTCTTCTGCCATTTTAATCGAGTGATATTGATACTAAAATAAAATGATACGTTTAATTACAAGAACCGAGTCATCATAGGAAAGAACAAATTTGCAGTGTGTCGTATGCGATGAACTTTGTTCCACTTGACTGAGCTTTAGTATGTGATAATTTTACCTTTGAGCATGAGACAACGCATGTGTGCAGTTTCTGTTTCTTTGATACATTGTTGAGTTTGGGTTTGTACCATGAAACTGGAAAATGCTCGCAATAAATAGACCAACTTCCATATTTTAAAATTCAGCCTAACATAATAGACCTCAGCACGAGGCTCTGGGGAATAAACCCCACAAACTCTGTAGTTATTCCCCAGAGCCTCGTGCTGAGGTCTATTGTTTAAAGCTGAATTTTAATATATCGAAATTGGTCTATTGCACAGCGCCCTTACAGCATTTTCCTGCCAAGCACGGCTGTTTTTAACTGTGGAAAGAAATTTGATCCGGGCAGATTTTTGATCACGTGCTAGGTAACCACTTCTGAACTGCGATCATGCATCATGCAATCAACAAAACAATGCTATAATTTGTAATTTTCGTCAAGCTTCATCTCAAGTCAACACTTTATTACCTGTGTACCTAAATATTTACTCTGTGTTTCAAAATTGTTATCAAAATATTTAGTCGGTGGATGGGCTGCCTGGGCTCTTGCCCATGGGGCAAGTGAGTAGACAAAGTTAAAGTTACATACCCGAGAAAAAGATGTATGTGTTATTGACCAAGTGTGGGGTCAAGATGGCTGGATATTGGCCAAGTTCTTTGTTTGCGTGTTTATGGACCAAGACGGAGTCGAGGTCCATATACTCGCAAAAAAAGAACAAGGCCAATATCCAGCCATCTTGACTGAATAAGCTTGGTCAATCAAGGATTTATTATATGGCTTTCGGGGAAATTTTTCTTGCGGTGTATGGCAGGTAGTCCCAAGCGGGCAAGATAGCTCCATCTTGCCCGCTCGGGTAGCCAATCACAGCACAGGATTTGATTCATCTTGCCCGCTCACGGGGCTAGCCATATAATAAGAACTTGTATCGGACAAGTGAAGGGTTTTTTTCCAAGTGCTGTTTAGATACACTGGATAACACTTTCCACCATCTGCTTGCAACTTGGTATAATCTGTGCCATCTACACTTGTGTTTTACTTTGTAAATGGGAATTAAAATTCAGAATATTTCGGTGCTTTTTTTGTTTATTTTTTTCGAGGGGGAAAACGGCAGTTAATCACACATACTCGCGCTTTTTGGTGTGTATATGTCACAACTAGCTTGGTAAGTTTGTGTGAAAGGTCGGTCGACTGATGGAAGATGTTGTTGTTGTTATTGTCTGTTTTTAGCGGCTTTTCTTCTATTACAGCTTTTCTGTTCAATGAATATGAGTCACTTTACCTAACATGCTTAGCAGAGTTCAGGAAGACCTGTCAAATCTTGAAGAGGAATTGATTGTGATACTATATGATCCTCAATAATAAAAATATATCATTTGAATCACTTTTATTTAACTACAGTATTGTGCAAAAGTAATGCAAACAAATTTCAATGAAATTCCTGGCTTTTCTTGGCTTTTCGAAGAAATTTCGCTTGAAACGATATTTTGAGGAAATTTGCCCACATTTTGGTGATGCCTATTGTTCCAGTCTGCGCGAATTCCTGAATGATAATTCACAGAATGTGATAATTTATCACGCATTTTCGAGCAATTATTCACTCTAACGTTTCACTTTTGCAATAAAAAGGGACAATTGGCGCTACCTGAAAAATAGCTGCCGTCCTTGGTAACACGACATGACGTAAAATACTGCGTGGAAAGATAGTGTATAACACTAACGATGCTAGAACGCATGCGTCTTACATGTTGAGTTCTACCATTGATTACCTATAAATAAAGTCACAAGAATTAAGATATATCAACTGTTAAAGCCATTAAATAAAAAAAAAATGGGTAAATCAGTGGTAACTGATAAATCAGTGGTAACCTTTCTGATTCATTCAACCTGGAATTTTACTAGCTGTGGGAACCAACGATTCTGATTGGCCAGCCTGTAATTGTATTTTATTAAAAGTCAACAAAAAGAGTACAATTGTTTCGTCTGGGATGCGTCTAAGTTTTTTAGGAAGGCACAGATAGTTTCGTTTGTAGTTTAAGGTTACTTCAAACCTTCGCGGGGCTACATTTGTCGATTTTTTTTTGGTCAAGAAAATTAATGTCCGCGAAGCACAAGTTTGCATACTGTGAACACTAGCGGTTCTGTTATTTCATTGGCTTGTGGCTTTTCAAGTTGACACATTCCTCTGTGAAGGTGTGATATGTTTATAAATCTTTAGAAGACGAAAACTCGTTTTTCGAGAGAATCCCTTCTTTTTAAATGAATTAATAGGGTATGCAGATTTGACGGTTTTCCATGAAATTTGGTCAGAGCATTCACTGATAGATATGGAACAAAAGCATGTCAGCGAATTCCTTAATTTGAAATACTTTCCTCGTGGCGGCCTTTAATGCAACAGGTTACGCAAATTTTTCGAGTCGAACTTGGCAGATCTATAAAAAGATAACCAATAGAAATAAAAGAAAATGCTGACACGTTTTTGGAGATTGAGGCTTTGAGATTAACACTGCACAGTTATTTTGCATGAACGATCGCTTTTGATACCCAATTAATTCGCTGGAACATCAGTCGGTCATTTTGGAGTTGACGGCCTCTGCCGCCTTTGGAAAGCAAAATGCAAAACAAAACATAATTTTATCCAATTCTACATTTAATAACCTTTCTGTTGATATATAGTTTGTGGGGGTTTCCTTGGAAACAGCATGCCTACGAATTTTATTCTGGAGGACTCCCGCAAAGGTTTGAAGTAACCTTAAGACTTGTCATGTTAAACATGCCTTAATGTAACAGAAATTGACATGACATGAGTGATTTAATGCTGCCACTGAAAGCCACGAAACTTTCAGCTGATCCCAAGTTCATTGAGTTCAAACCTCTCATAGCACTGGCTCATCATGCAATAAATTTAGGAAGAGCAGCGTGGTTCTGGTCCAGTTTTATAGGAACAGAAATTAAACTCCAAGTATTGTTTACAAGCATTGTAAATTTACTTCAAACGTTTTGCATGTTTTTACAATGCATTGGGAACTGACCAGGTTTGCTAATGCTTTCAGTGAAATAACTCTAAACCCATCCTTGAACAATTGTTGATGAACATTTTAAATGATCTGCACGTTGGAAGATTCTTAAGGTTACTTCAAACCTTCGCGGGGCTACACTGGTCGATATGTTTTTGGTCAAGAAAATTTAAGTCCGCAAAGCTCAAGTTTGCATACTGTGAACGCTAGGGGTTCTGTTATTTCATTGGCTCATGGCTTTTCAAGTTGACACATTCCTCTGTGAGGGC